CCATCAGCGTGTCAGCCAGGGCTACACGCACTGGAAGACTTGATGGAGGCAGGAGGACCAGCTCCAAGGTGACTCACTCACATGGCTGGCAAGTGAGCGCTGGCTGTTGGCAGGAGGCCTCAGCTCCTCACCACATGGGCCTCTCTCCCCACAGTCTGCTTGAGTGTCCTCACAACGTGGCAGCTGCTCCCCCAGAGCAAGTGATCCCAGAGCACATGATGGAAGCGGCAATCTCTCTTATGACCTGGCCTCAGAAGTAACGCTCCATCATCTCCACAGTATCCCTAGTGGTTACACGGGTCAGCCCTACTCAGTGTGGAAGGAACTACACAAGGGGTGAATACCAGGGGGAGAATCATCGGGGTCCCTCTGGAAGGCAAGATGTATAGAATTATTAGATGAGTGAGTATACATTGGGAGACACACACCCAAAAACATTTTACTGATGGGGCACCTGAACAACAAGGTTAAAGACTGGGACTACAGACTAGGGGCCCACAAAGAGTTGCAGGCAGGGCAGTAAGGATCTGAGGTCAGATCTGTAAGTTGAATGATGGCCTGGCCTTGGGTGGCTGATGGGTCAGAGGTGGATTGCCAAGAGACAGGGAGCTCAGTCAGGCTGCTGGGCTGGTCCCAGTGAGAAACCGTGAGGCTTAAGGCCAGAAAGGGAAGGTCACGTGGGCAGAACTTTAGCAGAGGAATGGAGTGGCCCTGGTGGCTGCTGGACATGCAGCGAGGGAGAGGCTGGGGTGGTGGGGGGGACAGCTGTGCACCTGACCAGGTCCAGATGGCTGCTGGAGATGGGTCTGGAGTCTGCAGAGATTTCCGGGCTGGAGACGCTGAAGCAGAGTCTTGGGTGTGGCCCAGGTGTGGCAGTGCCTGTGATGAACCCCACCCAGTGAGAGGGCACAGTGGAAAGAAGCCCAGGACAGAGCCCCTGCCAGTGGGAGAAGCAGAAAAAAAGTCCCAGGACTGCCAGTCCTACAAGCCAGGAAGTGGGGGTGACCTTCAGCCAGTTCTGGGGACCCCGAGTGCCAGGGTAAAGACTGCCAGGGAGAGAGGGGGACGGGCCTCCTATCAGGGTGAGTCAGAAAGAGGGAAGTGCTTTTCAGCCAGGGAGGCCTGAGCAGTTGGTGAACAGAGGAGGGGCTGGTAGAGAGCGAGCGAGCGTGTGGATGCCAGAGGTCCCCAGGATGCTAAGGGGGTGAAAGGCCAGTGCAGCAGAAAGAGCCCGAGGGCTACCATCAGACTGATGTGAGTTGACCTTGCCCACATCTGGAAAGAGGGTCTAATGCCCATCTCAGAGAGTTAGGGTCAACGTTAAACAAGATAATGAGGGAAAAGCATTTAGCACAGTGCCCAGCACATGCTAACTGCTCAGCACACACCAGCTGTTTTCATTCTCATTACCATCACTAGCAGCACAGCCAAGAGTTGAGTTAGACCTCCATGCCCCCTGAATGTGGAGTAACGGGGGAAATGTGGGCAGAGGATGTCTCTCCCCATATCCCAGAGAGTGGTTACTGACTTCTCTGGGACAGAACTGGGGCCCTGGCGTGTTGTCCCTTCTATGGAGAGAGACCTGGGTTCTGAGCTCCCTCTGCCCTCTCCCACCCCTCAGAGCGCTTTCAACCTCGAGTTTGGAATGGGCCGGCCTTGCTCTTCCCCAGACCCAGAGGGTTGGGACTGCACCTCATGCCTCTCGGCACCCTCCAGGCTAGAGTGGGGCACCCAGCAGACCTCAAGATGAGGTGACAGGACAAATGGGCAGAGGGGTGAAGACGAGGCTCAGTGCTCACTTTCCAGAGGGGGACCATGGTGCCCCAACTCTAGGGAAGGCTGAGCAGGGCTTGGCTGGAGATGAAGCAGGAGAGGTTAAAGGAGATGCGCTTGAGGGGGAGGGCTCAGCCCCAGGAGCAGAGGCAAGGGAAGAGGGGCTCCCCGGGGCTGGAAGGGGAGACGGCCACTGCCCACAAGCTTAAAACGGGAACCGATACAACCCACCCAAGGGCCTCAATATGCCCTCCGTGCCGCTGGGCGAGAACTTGCCTGCGGGATGGAGCCTGAGCACTGGGCTCCGTAGGGTCTTTCTCCATCCTGGTCTCTCCTCCCCAACTCCACTCTCCACTCCAGGCACAACTTTTCAGTGTTGGGACAGCCAGGATTCTGTGACCCAGGACCCTCTCTACTCCTCTTCCCTACTTTTATTTAGAAGGCGAAAATTTTAGAACAGTTTAAAACTCCAAATGTTTCCAGGTTTGGGTTTTTTTTTTTTTTTTTGGTGAGGAAGATTAGCCCTAAGCTAACATCTGTTGCCAATCTTCCTCTTTTTGCTGAGGAAGATTGGCCCTGGGCTAACATCCATGCCCATCTTCCTCTATGTTATGTGGGACGCCACCACAGCATGGCTTGATAAGTGGTGTGTAGGTCCGCGTCCAGGATCCAAACCTGCAAACCCCGGGCCGCCAAAGCGGAGAACGTGAACTTAACCACTACACCACCAGGCTGGCCCCTCCAGGTTTTATTTAACTTTCAAGTTCACCCAGTAACTGAGAATAGACCAAGAAGCCAATAGCAATGATCGTTACCATTTTCCAGCATGTGCCAGGGAGTAAGCAGAGGGCTTCACGTGTGTCATCCCCTTTGTTCCTCACAAGAATCCAGCGAGGTAGGAAGTTATCATTCCCATTTTACAGCTAAGGAAAACTGAGGCTCAGAGAAGTTAACTTTGCCCAGTTGCAGTGATGCCACAACCTCCCTCATCTTAACCTCACAACCGCCTCCCAGCTGGCTCTCTACCAACCCTACTGTCCACTGGCACCAGGATACCCTGTCACTCCTTTCTCGCAGCCACCAACAGCTTTTTATGGCACTTTGAATAAAGTCCACAGAAAGTCCTAGCGTCAGACTGTGCTTACCTCTCTGACCCGTCTCCTGTTTCTCTCCCTCCCTCCACCCCACAACTCTTCCTGTCCTCCGACATTCCAAACTTCTTCCTACCCTGCTGCTCCTCTGAACCTGGCACACTCCCCTGCCCCAGGCTTCGGCATCCTTCCGGTCTCAACTCAAAAGCTGCTCCCAACTCAAAAGCTGCTCCAAGAAGAGGCCTCCCTGATCACCGGTCTCAACCAGCAAGGACACCTAACCAGTGGTCACTTTCTTCGCTTAACAGCACCGTTCCTTTACTTCCTCCCGCCTGCTGTCCCCACTGGATGGACCCCAAGTTCCCTGAGGGCAGGACACTGCAGTCCAGCATTTCAAACACTGCCTGGCACCAAGGAGTATCCAAATAAGTATTTGCTGAAAGAAATAGAGAGAGATGAAGAAGAGGAATCAGGATTTGAACCCCATCTGTTTGGGAACCCGGTGGCCTATCCACTCAAGAACCCAGTCTCCTTAAAGGGCCAGGGAAGAGCTCTTCATAGATTTGGAGGAACACAGCCCTGACTGCTCCCATGCTTCCCTCTGAGTATGTGGAATGAGACAGGGAGGAACTTTTCTTTAAACCATATGTATTTTTACATTTATTTGAATTTTTGTAAGGTACATGTGTTACCTTTGGAATCTGAAAAACAACGCATGCAGAATTAGGTGATTCTACCCCCGCTCCGCGACCTCTCCTCAACCCCTTAGGTCCAGACACATCACCTGCACGCAGCTCCCTCGGCTCAGCTCTCCCCTCAGCCGACGGCAGAGGACATCAGCACAGCCTCAGACTGTCTGCTCCAAGCAGAACCAAGCTAAAGAGGGTTATTTGAAGAACACCCCAGGAAGCAGTGGTTCTCCACCTAGCAAGACCTCAGGATAACTGGGGGGTTTCCTGAAATGCAGACCCCTGGGCCCCACCCCAGAGTCAGTGGGCTGGGTCTGTTAGATCAAATACCGCCTGGAAAACCGTGCAGGGCAATCCATGGAGACAGCCACTGGTTTACGTGACACCGCTGGGACCTCTGCCTCTATCCTTGGATCAGTCTGGGCTGGGGCAGTCACGCGCCCCCAGAATCACTACCCCTGGGTTGGTCTTTTGCATCCAACTCTCACCTTCTGTCAGGGGTGGCTACAAAAACTGCCCTTTTGCACTGTTCAGGACTTAACCCTCGCAATTCTTCATACCCTCCACCTCAGCCTTCCCTGTCGGAGCCCCTGAGTCAGAGGGAGAAAGGGGTGGTATCCCAGCCAGTGCCAGCAATGGCTCATCTGTGCTGCAGCTCGTGGTGGGAGCCTGTCAAGCACTTGAACAGTGGCAGAAGGAAAGCTGAGAACTACTAATCTACATAACAGCATCTGAGAAGCTTCAGTTATGGCTTAGGGCCAGGAAAATCTGACTCCCTAAAAGCACTAGAATTCTTTCTCCTTTATAATAAAGAACTAGGTAACAGACCATTTCCCTTTTTGCCCTGTCTACTAGGAAGCTCAGAGATCATATTCATCCTCATAGCTACTGCATCTGTTTCTCCTAGTTTTATCTTTGGTATCGAGGTTCTATTTTCCTACCCTTATTATTTGCGAAGTTGCTTCAAATCTTTCCTATAGAGATAGGGCATAAAGAAATCCAATGAATAACTATTTACACAGCATTTCTTATCAGCAAATCTCTGTAAAGGTCATCGCCAGAGCCCAGCTGGGTCCACAACTCCACAAACAAGAACCAAGAAAAGTTTCCTCTATATTTTCCTTTAGAGAGTGTCGTGCTGCCTGACAAGCCGGAGACAGCCCAGAGGAGTGATCAGGGCTGGGCTAAGTTTGCAGGGACCTATGCAAGTCAGGCCTCCTCTTTCTGGATCTGTCAGTGACTTTGGACAGAGCCTCCAGCCCTTCCCAGGCCCATTCTTCACTACCGACTCTGGATCCTTGATTTCAGGTTCCCTCCAAGGCTCCTTTCAAGGCACTCTATGCTCTCTGGGTTGGGATGAAGAAGGGTCTGACCCCAGACCCACCCCCATGCTCCCACCCTGTCTCCCCCCTCACCCAGGTCCCAAAGAACCAGGCCACACGCTAGGTTTCAAGTATCTGTCTCTTCCTTTCACTCTCTCAAAAGAAAAAAATAAATAAATTGCAGAAGGCGGCAGCATTTCCAGTCTTCCCCTGGCTCCCAGACACCCGACCCCCAACCCCTGCCCCCCCACCCTCCCTCCCACATTCCCAATCCCTAGACCCATCCCTCCCTTTTCCCAAAAAAAATCCCAGGAAAAAAAAAAGCCACAGTTAGACCTTCCACTCATGCAAACCGGCAAAGAAAAAAGGTGGGGGCATGTGGAAGGCAGGGGGCCCACAGTGGAGTCCCCCCACTTATCCCCCCCAAAAACCACCTTTGAGAAGAAAAAAAAAGGAAAAAATAAATGAGAAATCAAGGGACATGGGAAGTTATGACGGGGGCAGGGGTGAGCCCAGACCCTGCCTCAGGAGAGGGTGGAGGCCTGTGGCCCTGCATCCCTGCAGCGGGGTGCTCCTTGAGGGGGCCCTGACTTCTGGAATGTGTGTGGGAGAAGACGAGGGAGGGCAGGTGGCCCCCGGTGGGTTTGTGTGTGCATTGGGGGCGGGCAGGGGCAGAGGGTCCCAAGGAGCAAGGGCTCAGGACCAGGAGCCCAGCTCCCCCCCAGACGCCAGGTTCCTGGGGTTCAGGAGCCCAGGTCTGGGGTGCGGGGATACATGCAGAGGAGTGTCCCCCCTCCAATGGGCTGGATCCAGTTAGAAAGGAAATAAATAAGAAGGGGTGGGAGGGAGGATAGGGGGCGCGAAGGGCTCGGGCAATTCAGTCCAGACCAAGGGCCCGGGCGATGGAGGCAGGGCGAGTCCAGGCCAAGCCAGGGCAGGAATCAGAGTCTCTCTCGGGCTGGGACCCAGATGTAGGGGCCTGAGAGGTCCTCGATGACACGCTTCACTTTGTGGTAGATCTCCTCAAAGCTGTCGCCCTCCACGATGGCTGGGGGTGGGGCGGAGGAGGGAGTAAGACTGGATGTCCAGCCAAGGGGGTGGCGCCAGCCCAGAGGAAGGGGACCTTTTTCTAATTCTCCAAGCTGTGACCCATGGGGCTGCAACCACCCAAAGGGGGCACCTCTTTCTGAACTGTCCACCCAGCGGGGGCAGCTGTTCTGAATGTGAGCAAAGGCGCCTCGTGTGCTGGCAGCGGGCTCACCTGAGAAGCACTCTGTGAACTCCTGCTCCAGCTTGGTGGCTCTGTCGAAGGCTTTGCGGGCTTGCTCCTCTGTGATCCGCTTGTTAATCTCTCTGTGGAGAGAGACAGAGAGGCAGACCTGAGGGTGGGTCCTGCCTTTTACAGTCTCCATCCAGGGATGTTAAGTTGCAATCAGTATTTTCTTCTTTGGAGTGTGTGGCAAAAAATACAATTCCCAATATCCTCCGGGGTCACAGATGACCCTCCCCCACCCCTGGCCCACCCCAGGTGTGGTCACTCCAGGGACCTCTCCAGAGCCTCAACCTTCCAGCCTTCAGCCCCAGTGAAGGGATTCAGACTAACTCCCAACAGCCCCGGAGGCCCTGGCTCGCCCCAGCAGGTGTGTGCCCCAGGGGCTGCTGGGAGTTGTAGTCCTGCCTAGCCCAAGGCAGGAGAGGAGAGGCCTGCGATTCCCTGCATCCTCTGGGTTCCAGCTCTCTGTGCAGATCCCCATCAAGGGCTGCTGGAGCCACTGTCCAGGGTTCTGAGGGGAGAGTTCAACACAGAGGCCTTCTGAGACAGGGCCACAGGTGCGGGGAGCGGAAGGGAGGCCCCCCCAGGACCATACTCACAGCACATTCTCCAGGGAGCGGGGGCGGATGAAGATGGCGATAGGGTGCAGGTGGGCCGCCTGCAGCCGCCGCACGGCATTGGCTGAGACATCGAGGATGCAGTGCTTCCCCTGGGGGCAGGCAGGGTGGGCAGAGGGGGACCAGCAGGTGGCAGGAAAGGACAGACAGAGGAGCCAGGACAGGACACAGTACATGGAAAGGTGGGGAATGGGAGGTTAGCCAAAAGGGAAGTGACATGGATGTCAAAAGACACATGAACAGAGAGAGTCAAGACGAGAAGAGGGTATGGACAGACAGAGTGAAAGACAGAGAGAAAAAGAAAAGGGGCAGACAGAGAGCAAGGAAAGAGGCCAGCACAGGAGGAAGGGAGCAGAGGGAATGGAGGGTGGGGTAAGGAACAGCCAGGGAAGGGACCCAACAGATGGGGCAGAGCAAGGCAAGAGGGGCCGAGTGGGGTGGGGGTGTGGAAGGCGGCAATGGGACAGGTGGGGCAAGAAAGCAAAGAAAAAGGAGAAAGGAAGTAGGATGGAAGGAGGAGGGAGGGGAGGACGGACAGAGGACAGACAGATGGAAGGAACAAGGAGAGACAGATGGGAGGGAAGAGAGGCAGATGGAGAAAAGAGCCATGGAGGGAGAGAGGGCAGGGTGGGGGGCAGCAGGGAAAAGGAGGTGGCCAGGGAGTAGGAGAGGGGAGTGGAGACCCGGGAGCAGGTGAGGCAGAAGGAGAGTGGGGAGAGGGCCAAAGGGAACCAGGGTAGAAGGGAGGGACCAAGTTGGGGGAGGCCAAGCCACCAACAGCAAGGCCACAGGAAGAGAAGAGAAATGGGGCAAGGAGGAGGGCAGCAGAGGAGAGAGGGGACAGATGGTGGTGAGGAGTTTGGGGTCAGGAAGCCAGGCAGGGAGGAGCAGGGAGCAGGGCACAGGAGCAGGCAGTGCGACAGAGTTGCCCAAGAGAAGCAGGAGGTGGAGGAGCGGAGTGGAGACCCAGCAGGGAAAGAGACAGAGAGAAAGAGAGTTAGAGAGAGCCGGAAGAAGGCCATGGGGTGGGGAGAGGGGAGGAAGAAGAGGACCGGGGTGCCCGCCGGGTCCTACCTGCTCTGCCACCTCTCGCACGGACTGGACACTAGTTCCATATAGGTGGCTGTTGTACTGGCCGGCCTCAATGAACTTGTGCGCCTGAATGTCCTTCTCCATTTTCTCCCGGGACGACACAAAGTGGTAATCCCGGCCATCTATCTCATACTCCCGCTTGGGCCGTGTTGTATCTGCCGGGAAGTCACCCCACCACCTGAAGATCTAACCACCATCCCTCTAGCTTAAAACCTGCCTACATGACCAAACCCCCAAAGTGCCCAGCTGGTCCTTCAGTGGAAGGGGGCTGCTGGGGAGACCAAGACTGAGGAGGGATGGAACCACCTCTCCCAGCACCCTCTGGGTCCTCCAAGTCTCTGGCCTGGAATGGCTACCATGAAATGGGAGGGTGGCTGAGAAGCACCCCTTCTCTGAGAATCCCTGTGTCTTCCTGTACCCCAAAGCCCCAAAGTGGCTCTGCCTATGGCCCATGGGGGACCCCCACCTCCCACCTCCATCCAAGGCCCCAGCACTCACGGGGAACACAGGATCCAAACTTGTCGGGGAACTCGGAGAGAAGATCATCATTGGCACGGTCCTTGGTGGGCCCAAGGATGATGATGGGGCGAGCATAGTGCACTGAGGAGAGAGAGTGGCTCAGTGAAGAACGGAGCCGGGAGCAGGAGGGGCTGGGGCCAAGGCAGGGGCCGGGGCTCACCTTCCATCTGAGTCACCGTCTCGTAGCTCAGAACTGAGTCTTCTCGACCTAGTGAGAGGCAGGGCGTCTGCGAGTGGCTCTGAGACACGGGACTCGGGGCCCCGGTCACCTTCCCGCGGATGTGAAGAGGAGCTTGGGGGCTCCTCTCAACCCAGGTTTCCCAAACTGACCCTACCTACCCTGTGATCCTGAGCTGGAGCCCCAGTCCTAGGAAGAAAGAGCAGGTCGGGTGGGTGGTCAGGAGTTCGGCCCCATAGGTCCCCCACTCTCCCATCCAAGCTCACCCCCTCCTCTACCTACCTTGGCCTTTAACCTTGACCACTCCCGTCGCTCAACCCTGTGGGAAACACGCAAGGATGGGGGATGGGCAATGCCCAGTGAGGGGCCCTATGGCCCCTATCGCCTAAGATAGCTGATAACCCCATCTCCCAGCAGCCCCTGGGCCCCTGTGCTCCTAAATGAGATGTCTACCCCAAAGGCTCATGGGATTCATGGTACCCAAGAGGGCCCAGCAGACAGACGCCCAAGAAGTCAGCGGGCAGACCCGTGCCCATCCTAGGGACCTTGGGAACTTCAGTGCTGTGGCAGGAAGGCTGCAGGCCCTGGGAGCCTCACCGCCGTTTGCTGGGGATAAAGCCGATGTCATCGGTCTCGCTGTCAGAGTGGACCCGCCGTGCCTGCCACCACTCCTCGTCACTGGCGTCGATTACATGCAGCACATCCCCAAAGCGGAAACTCAGGGCCTGGCTCAGGAAGCCGCAGTCCTTGGTCTTGTCGTAATCAAACAGGGCCCTAGAAGGCAGGTGGCCACTGGTCAGAGGCTGGCTGAGGACTCTGGCCACACTGAGACCCAGCCCGGAGGTTCTGGATAAAGAGTCTACAGCAAAGCCCGGGCTGCTGGTGGCTTCCCACAGGTGCCGTGGATTCTGAGGAACCCAAAAACTGTGGGGACCAGAAGCTCTATGATAACTCATCATCGCCACTCTATTAACCATCACTCAGTCCACACTGTGTCAGGGATCAGACTGGCTACGGATTTGGTGCAATTTTTAGAGTGAGAGCTAGAACTCCACCCTCCTGAGAAAGCAGTCTGATATACACGTGCACATCACAGTCAAAGGGAATCTAGAACCTGCTCCAATTCATAAGAAAAAATATCACTCTGCAAACTCTGGTTCCCCTTATCGGTATCAACGTTCCTGTCAGTAGGTCACCACCCCTGGGGTCAGGACAAGGGAAGGAACGACCACTGAGACAGCAAGGCTACAGAGCAGAGCAATGGGACTGGAAAGAAGGAAAGAGACTCCAGGATCGTCCAGCGTCATCTGGGGGTCAGAAACGAACAGCCCTGGGAGCCAACTGGACCCAGCAGGGAGGGAAGGGCCGAGCGAGGATCTGGTCTGAACCAGGTGTCTGGGCGGACAGGGGTGCCATTCAGCGGGAGAGAAAACACTGATTTGGCAAAACAGAGAGCACGAGTCCACACGAGAAAAAGAAGAGCTCAGTTTGGGATGTGGTGAGCGTGAGATGCCTGTGGGACAGCCCAGCGGACACGTCCAGAAAGCAGATGGCAAGAACTGCAGCTCTGGACCTCCAGGAGGAGGTCAGGCCCGAGCTGACAGCTCCGAGAGACATGTGCAGGGTGGAGTGGCAGATGAGGCCATGTGAGTGGACAGGAGCCAAGAGGGAAGCAAGAAAAGCAGCAGGGAGGCAGAGGCAGAAGACACAGCGCCTGAGAGCGAGAAAGCCGTGGTCCAGTCCCGCAGACTGCCCCCAGCAAGGTACAGGCTGGGACCCCCTGCTCTGCCAGGCATTAACCTCTGAGTCACCAAGCTGTGGGGCAGGCTGGACGTCCTAGGGGAAGTGCCAGGGTGACCACGGGCTAGAAGGCAGTAGGGATAGTTGAGGCAGAGGCTATTTTCCAATTGATATGAAGAATTTCAAAATGCGAACCTGGACAGCCAAGCCCATGAACCCCAGTTGGGTGTCAGGCCTGGGTGGGTTTAGGGGAAGGGTTAGGGGGTAGCGGCAGGGCAGCCCAGTCTGAGAAGCATCCAACCTGATGTAGAAACCCCTTTTGGGGTTGCTCCGCAGGGAGGCAGTCCCTGAGCCAAGGCTGCTGTTCATGAGCTGTTCTCGAAGGTCGTGGATCTTGGCCTCGAATCGGCTGTACTCTGAGCAAGGACAAGAAGGTCCCTGAGCTCTAGCCCCATCCTACTGCAGCCCTCCCTCGCCCCCACTGAAGCCACGAGGTTCAGAGGTGAGGAGACAGAGTTCTGAGGACCACCTCAGCCCACAAGACGGGGAGCTTCAGGCTGCTACCTTCTGGTTTATACTGAGCGATGATCGTGACTGTCTGACCCGCGTTCTTCAGGGCAATGGCAGCCTGCTCATGGCTGGCATTGCGGAGGTCAACACCGTTAACCTAGAGAGAAGAAGAGAGGCTGAGTCGCTGGAGATGGGGCCCAGGCTCCAGGCCACCCAAGCCCCTGCCCAAGAGCTCTGGGCTCTCCCTCACCGAGAGGATCTGGTCCCCCTTCCGCAGCTCCCCACTGAGGTCCGCAGGGCCCCCGGCCAGGATAAAGGAGATGAAGATGCCTTCACCGTCCTCGCCACCCACGATGTTGAAGCCGAGGCCTGTGGAGCCCCGGTGGATCACAATCCGCCTCGGTTCTCTGGGAATGTCTTCCTCCCCAAGCAGGTCCTTGGCCACTGGGGAATAGCGCCGAGGGGAAGTGGGGGTCATGGCTGTGGGGTAGTCGGTGCCCAGGTAGCTGCTGTGACTGATCTCATTGTCCAGGTGCTGGGAATAAGCTGAGGGAAGACGTGGGAGAAAGGACACATGGAGGGAGACAGCACCCACCACCCGCCCACCCCCCTTCTCCCTAGGGAACCAGAGAACCAGACTCAGGTGAAGGGGAAGTTGTTCTGCCAGAGACACTAGGGTGGGGTGAGGGGACATCAGATCACAGCAATGTCACGGGCAGGAATTCATAGGTGATATCAGGGGTTGGTTCTCCCAGGGGATTATCGATTTAAAGGTTCCAGGGCCTAGGTATGCCAGGACTGCGACGCCAAAGGGAATATTAATATCAGGCTTTTGTGGGGTTTCTTTTAGTGGCTGTCTCTCTCAAATCTCTTAATTAATTATAAAATTACTCCTTTTTTTTTTTTCCATTTGGCCATTCATTTGTTGAAAAAACTAGGTCATTTGTCTAAGAGGATTCCCCACATTCTAACAGGGAAATCACTGCCTGCATCTGTCTGTGTGAACATGGGCCTCTGCCCGTATCTCCTGAACTGGTCATTCATTCTAGAAACTTAGACTCAAGTTCCATTTTTTGGCACGAATACTTCATAGGTGGTGCTGTGTACTTTCTACTGTACCACGACAGGACGCAAGAATGCCTGGTCGTTTTTGGTAAGATTACTCAGTAGGTTCAGGAGTCGTCAGCCTGATCCATCCAGCACTCCCCATCAGCCTTCCACCGAGGAGTTTTAGCCACTGATGATCACTGCCTGGTTCTGATATCTCTTTTTTTTGTGTGTGAGGAAGATCAGCCCTGAGCTAACCTCCATGCCAATCCTCCTCTTTTTGCTGAGGAAGACCGGCTCTGAGGTAACATCTATTGCCAATCCTCCTCCTTTTGTTTCCCCAAAGCCACAGTAGATAGTTGCACATCATAGTTACACATCCCTCTGATTGCTGTTTGTGGGACGCTGCCTCAGCATGGCCAGAGAAGCAGTGCGTTGGTGCACGCCCGGGATCCGAACCTGGGCCGCCAGTAGTGGAGCTCGCGCACTTAACCGCTAAGCCACGGGGCCGGCCCTCTGGTTCTGATATCTCACTAGGGACTGCAAAATAGTGATATTCTACTTTTTTTTTTTTTTTTTGGAGGGAGGAGCACTTACTAGTAGGACTTCTTCTATAAAAAAGAACTTCCCCATATCAACCTTTGGTCACCCTAAGGGGCAATTTGTATAGGAAAGGAAGATTAAATGCTTGATGCTTTCCTTTTATTTGCCAGTTTTCAGAATGAATGGGTTCCCTAGCACCTTCAAAAGGTACCTAATTATTCTTAAGTATCAGTATGACCTCACAGATTTCAACATATTTTTTGACTGAATGGCCAGTAGGAGCCCCTCCTCTGTCTCTGACATGACCCTAGCAGTCTGGGCTACCTTCCTTGCCTTCAAGTATGAAAGATGTTACAAGCTGATCTTGTACACTTGTTGCCCAAGATTTGGAATTGGCCCTTTCTCCAAGGATCCAAGGTTCCTTTTGGTAGGTTACAGTATTTAGAAATATTACCATGTGATTTTAATAAGTTTTTACAGTATGATTTCATATTTGGTAGAGACAGTCACACCTCATTATTCTTTTCCAAAAATTTCTTAGCTGTTCTCCCAAATGTATTTTTCCAGTTGAACTTTAGAAACAACCTGCCAAGTTCCCAGCGGGGTGGGGTGCGGGGGACACTTTAAAATTCTGATTAGGATTATATAAAATGTATAGATTAACTTGGACAAGGTTGAGATCTTTAGCATATTAAGTTTTTCTACCCAGAAACATGGTGTGACTCTCCATTTCTTAAAGTCTTCTTTTATGTCCTTCATTTTTTTTTTTT